TTTAGTATCTATTTTTTTATTTATAAAACTTAAACTTAAAATTAAAAAAAATTATTTTAATTCTAACAAACAAATTATGGGTGAGAGAGCATTTTATATTTAGAGAATTGATAAATCAATAGTAGCCTTCCTCAATCCCTCATAAATCATAATTAATTTTTATATATTACGGATAAAAGAAAGAGAAAAATTATAACATCTTGATATTTAAAATGTTAAAATGTCTAATTACATATTTTCATTTTTCATTCTTCATCAAATAAATTAGTATATAAAGATTGATGGTATATTTAAATATTGTACCTTTGTTGCAAGTGGATTACTAGAAGTAATATCCATTTGATAGTCTCCTTGAAATAATCAAGAAGGGGTGGATTATACACCAAACGTTGAATTGCACAATTCATGAAACAAAAATTTCCAATATTGCATAGTACACTCAAACCCAATCCATTATACCAGTAATATCTAGTCATAATCCTAGACAAAGATTAGCTAATTTTAACAAGTAAAACAATGCTATATACAATCTGACAAAAATAAATGCTACAAAAAGTTCCTTCGCTAAGATAATCACCACTATCAAAATGTTCTACCTCACAGCTACAATTGTTGTCTACTAAGGCATTTCCTTACCTTTTTCAAATTTCTCGGAATTTCTTCAAATTATTTATCTGAGTCCATTGCAAATTTCACATTGTAGTTCATTGTAAGACAACTAAGGTGAAGGGAGCCATGCTTTCAGACTTCAAACGCTTGGATGAAGAATGGAAAGGAAGTGTGTCATTCAAACCCATTGTGCCATATCTTATTTGGATTATATTGCTTGTGTTGTGGGATCAGTAATGATATTACAGCAAATATCAAGGTTGTCAATCTTGTAGCAGTGGGATATATATTGGTTTTGTTATTAATATGTACATAACGTATACCGAGTTATATTAGATATGGTTTTGAATTTATTGTTATAAATATATAAATATAAATGAAAGGGATAATTTTGTAGTGATTTTTTTCTTTTTAAAAAAATTAATAAATATAAAAAATGTACATAATAACTTTAGCAACCTGACTCTAAAATTGTGTTGAAACTTTTACTCTTTTATTGAAAATTATGAGTTTTCTTAAATATTTTATAATAATATAAAATCTAATTCAAAAGTCAATTGCAATTTTACACTTGGTGTCCATTTTCTCCTGGTTTTTTTAATTATAAAAAAAATCTTATCCCCTAGTCTTTTTACTCTTTTTAGTTTTTACCATAACCCTCGTTCCTACTTCTCACTTGTAATACCCAAAGATTTCTTACTTAAAATTTAATTTAATTATTTAAGTTCTTAGGGGTGTATATGTGATAGGATTAAATTTGGAGTTAAAATTAGGATGAGGTAAGGAACTCAAGAGTTAGAACCTTCTAATTAAAGTCTAGGGACCAATTAGCAATATTTTTTTTTTTGTGAAAACCCAATCAGATTCAATTTGGCAGTTTCAATTTTCTTTCTTTTGTGGCGAACAGGATCGTCTTCTTCTCTTGCCTGCAAGGGGGAACTGAACTTTAGGAATTTGGCCATACTAGACTAAATCTAAGGTAAATTATTTTTTAAAGCTTGAAGGATTTAGGAATTTGGAATGAAGAGAATGGGTAGAAGCATGGTAGGAGATTGATTTTACTGTAGCAAATGGATTTTGGTATTGATAAAAGATTGTGAATTTGGGTGGTGACGTGAGGAATTTTTAAGGAAGAAATTATTTATTTAGGTTGTTAGCTTCTAATAGTGTGTGTTAAAGTGGTTGGGTTTGAGGAAGGGACGACAGTGGCATGGTTATGGAATTTTATCATGTAGATGCTTGATAAGCAAAGGATAAATTTTACTTGGCGATTGAATTATGTATATTTTATGTTCATTTAGGTTTCAAGTAGTCGTGTGGAATTGCATTTTAAGAGATAATTATTGAGGTAAGTTGTTATACCCTCTAGTATTCTTTTAAAAGGTTTGTTTTATTAAAATTTATTTTACATTTTCAGCGTATTTTATATAATCTTATTTGGTTACTGTGTTTCAAAAATAAGAATATTTTATAATGAAATAAGATGAATGTTGATCAAGCATTTTGAGTGTGGATTGTTTTCTATCGAAAAGTGTGATTTATTAAATTGGAAATAATTTTTCTTTTAATACTGGGTTTTTATGTTCTTGGTTGGCTAGTTAAATTAGCCCGTTCCTCAAGGGTATACTGAGGGTATTAATAGTAGTTTCAGGATCTATTTATCATAGAGTGTGATGTGGAATGTGATGCAACCTAAAGAACATGTATTTGTTGTTTTCTTTTTCATTTGGTTTGAAATGTGGTTTCCTCATTATGAAGTTGTTTACTTTATTTAATTATTATTTTCGCTAAAATATAATGCTTGATCAAACTAGATGGGTATACTCTTACTGAGCTATCTAGCTTATGCTTTTAAAATCTCATCTCATTTCAGGTATAGAAGAATAAGCATTTGGGGTTGCATTTGAGAGTGAGAGGCGCAACGGTCCTAAAGTAGTTCTTTGATTTAGTTCAAGTTATTTCTGGGTTGTGTAATAATTAGAAATGAAGAACTGTTTGCTATGACTTATTGCTATGAGATTTTATGTTGGATTTTATGAAGTGAGGATCAAGTGTTTTGGATTTGACTAACTACTTGTACATGTTAATAAAGCTGGAGTTTCTTATAGAATGTAACTTTATTGCATTTGTATATTAAAGGTTGTTTAGTTGAAGTAGCCTTACACATTTATGAAATCATCCCTGTAGATGTGTGGCATTTGTCATGTCTTGACCTTTAGGTCGGGACGTGACATCACTCTTCTTTTGTTTCTTCCTCTTATCCAATGACTCCGATGATGCTATGGATTCTAACCAAACTTTCTTTTTTCAAATCCTTCCTCTATTACATTCTAAATCTAAAGCAAAAAAATTTTCCTTTTCACTGACTTTGCAATTTCTACTTTCTTTTATTCTTTTTTTTTTTTTTAATTCTTTCTTCAAATCTAGGTTTCATATCTAAATTCTAGAAACAAATTAAACACTTGAGTGGAAGAGGTGGAGGGAACTTCCTCAAAAACCAGCCAATCTCTTCATTGGCGAGTTTCCAAGCAGTGTGGATTCCATATCTAATTATGTGTTTTTTTTTATTATTTCTCTTGGTGTGAAAAATTCACATATTTGTTTTTTTTTTTATTGTTTAGCGTGAAAGTGGGTATAGACAAGTCCCGACTGAAAATCTGTTACACAATATTCCGGCCAATACAACCATTTTCAACCGGCATGGCCAAGATTTAAAGTGATACAATATTAAGAGATTTATGCATCGATTTTGTGTCAAAATCGATACATATGGATTTTACCGAGTGGTACGGTATGAGATTTACAACCCTTGGCAACCACTACCTTTTGCATACTACAGTTCTGGTTACATGCACTTTTTTCTATGTAGTGATTGAAGAAATGCATAATTTGAAACTCCAAGACATCAATGAGGATGTGATGTTGAAATGGTTAGTGGTGATTAACGATTATCTATTTTTGAATTTAAATGTGGAGTTTAATTGTAATGGATCATTTGAGGAAAACTGCACATATTTACTTTAGTATGAAGGCGTTGGCAAATGTAAGTTACATTGGATAAATAAGTGAGAAGAGTGAGAAGAGTTCGTTGTTAAACTTACAATATTTTGTTTATGTGACGTATAATTTTTTGATAGTCATCTTCTTAGTGAAGGTGTTCTTTATTAGTGTTTTAACGCTTTATAAAAAGCTTAGAAGAGTGTAAAAAAATTCACTCTTGGACTATTTTGGTGGTGTAGCCTTTCTTGGTGGTGTGGCCTTTCGTAGTTATTTACCAAGAGGAAATGTTACATATTTTAAATATATAATGGATTATATATATATTAATTTATTTAATATCTCATTATCTTATATAATATATAATTTGACATAATATTTATTGTGACATTGTCATTTTTACTTAACTATAAGAGCTTTACACTTTGTTATATATTTTAAAAGGAAGTGATTTAACTAGTTAAAAATATGAAATCTTCAATTGAAAATTTTAAATTTAAATGTCAAGTCGAATTGTGAGAGATTTAAAAAAATGAGAACATGTCAATAGAATTTAAAACAAGGAGGAGTTGTATTAGTAATAAACCCCAACATAGAAATCATAAAATTCAATGAAAATAAATTTACATCAGCTAATATAACTTATGGCAAATGAATACAAAGACCATCCAACGCTGATGGTAGCAACACACATACACCAGCAAATTATTTTTTAAAAAACGAAAAAAAAAAAAAAAAACCCTAAGGAGTTGCAACAATCAAAAGAATGCAATAGTCCACACAGTGTGTAGCTTAACTACATTCCTAATTTATTAGAAAAAAGTAGTCCCGTTCATCTTCAGATTGAATGTAAATAGAAAACTTGATAACACATCCACATTTCTTCAAGTTCTTTATTAGACTTCACAACCTGTCATATTTTTATATAATATTCCATTATATCAGCAAGATAGCATCAATAAAAGCCAAAGCAAACAAATTCAAGAGTTTATCACAAAGAGTAGAACACAAAGAATAAAAATAATTTATGTTGAGAGAGAAGGTAGACTAGAAAAGATAAATACAAATGACACATACCTAGAACTATGATAAATATCCAAGCAATTCAGCCTTGCATCCCATGTCCATCTCCAATCAAATCTCCCAAACTTATCATTGAATATGGCTTTGGCAATAGAGATGGTCGACCACTTGTAAGAGCCTGATAAACCTGCTGCATAGTGGGGCGAAATTGAGGATTGGAATGCAAACATGTAAATGCTAGCTTTGTGGTAGCAACCACTTGCTCAGCCACCATATTCCTCCTTTGAGGCTTAAGGCATTGATCTATGACATCCTTCAGCAACATCTGCTGGCCATTTGGTGTCCATAAATCTGAAATAAGATCACCTGGATGCCTTCCCATAATTATCTCCATTGTTACCACCCCAAAACTATAGACATCACATTTTTCATTCACCTGCATCGTGTAAGCAAGTTCTGCAGAAGCAAGTCTAGTTAGCTATAAAACAATATAATAATCACTACAGTTTATTAGAAGATATCAAATGAATGAAATACCTGGAGCTGTGTAGCCAAATGTGCCTGCAAAGGATGTCCAGTTAGAAGAATCCGGCTTCAAAATCCTAGCTGTGCCAAAGTCTGAGACATGAGCTTCATAATCCAAATCTAACAAAACATTGTTGCTAGAAATGTCACGATGGATTATTGGTGAAGGGCGATCATGGTGCATGTAAGATAAAGCACTCGCTAAACCTTTAACAATGTTCAATCTCTTATCCCAATCCAACTCTGCCGCTTCTTCTGGGTTGCTCAAAATTGTCCTCAAGCTCCCCCTTTCTACAAACTCATAGATCAGGAATGAATGCTCTGCATTTGAACAAAAACCATACAACTTGATAATGTTACGATGTCGTATGTCCACTAAAGCACGAATCTCGCTTTCAAATGCTCGCAAATTGATGGACTGATTGTCATCTGATGGGTTAAGTTTCTTAACCGCAACAACTTGACCAGTTGGCAGCAGAGCTTTGTAAACATTTCCATATCCTCCTGAGCCAATGCAATAGTTGGAGTTGAATTGCTCTGTAGCTTCAAGAATGTTTTCATAGAGGATTTCCCCATCATATCCCCATATGGCAAATAAATCTTGAAATTGCCGCTCTTTTATCTCAGATTTTTTGTGACGAACAAGAAGTAAACACCCCACCAAGATAAATAAAAGAGATAGAACACCCAAAACTGGTGTAATGATTAAAATTACGAGTCCTCTGCGGCTTTTCTTCTGGCTTTTGGATACACAATGCGGGAGACCAGTGACATTGCCGCAGAGGCCTTTATTGTTTCTAAGAGCATCAAATGGGGCAAGAAGGAAACCTTGAGTAGGTGGGATAGGGCCCTCAAACTGATTATAAGAGATGTTAACATTTGTTAAGCTCTTCAGTTCATCAAAAGTAGGAGGAATGAAACCAGAAAGCATATTATGAGAAAGATTCAGCATTTCCAACGCACGTGATCCTCCAAGCTCTTGTGGAATCTCTCCTGTTAATTTATTCCCACTAAAATCAAGAGTTTCTAGGGCAAATATTTTGCTTATTTCAGATGGAATACTTTCCTCAATTAGGTTGTTGCTTAGGTTCAAGTGTAATAACTTGAAGCAATTCCCAAGTTGTTTTGGAATTGGTCCAGCTAGATTGTTCTTTGCCAAGCTAAGTTGTTGCAGATTAACTAGCTTTCCTAGCTCTGGTGGGATTCTGCCAAAGAGTTGGTTGTCATTTAGCAAGAGATAAGCCAGGGTCGTTAGCTTGCCTATTTCCTTAGGAATCTTCCCACTCAACTGATTTAAAGAAAGGTCAAGCCGAGTCAATTGAGTGGCTTGAGCTAGCTCAGGAGGTATCCTACCAGATACCTTGTTGTTGGAGATCTTCAAGCTTGTGAGGTTTTGACATAGACCCAAATTTGGAGAAAGTTCACCGTACAACTTGTTATCACTCAAATCAATAAAATCCAAGGTGGGATATATGCCAAAAGCTTCTGATATATTTTCTTCAAGTTGATTCTCCTCAAGCCTTGCCCTGTATAAGCTAGTGCAGTTTCTTAAACTTCTTGGGATGGGACCAGTTAAATTGTTTCTGTCAACAGCCAAAAATTTGAGTAATCCCCCAAGGCATATATTGTCAGGTACATGGCCAGTGAGTTGATTATCACTTAATTGTAAAGATTTCAAAACAGTGAGGTTATTCATTTCTACTGGAATAGGACCAGACAGAGAGTTATTTCTAAGAAATAAATAAGAAAGTCTAGTCAAGTTTCCCATGGAAGCTGGGATTGGACCAGAAAGCATGTTCTCAGAGAGAGAAAGATTGTTTAAACTGGCTAGATTTCCTAAAGAAGTTGGGATTGGACCAGAAAGCATGTTCTCAGAGAGACGAAGATTGTTTAAACTGGTTAGATTTCCTAAAGAAGCTGGGATTGGACCAGAGAAACTGTTCTTATGCAAAGCAAGATTAGTGAGAGAGTTGAGAAATCCTATTTCTGATGGTATTGAGCCAATTAACTCGTTATCAAAGAGAAGAAGAGAGACTAAACTGGTTAGGTTTCCTATGGAAGTCGGTATAACACCTTTGAGATTATTTCCTAACAACTGCAAGTGGAAAAGTGATTGAATCATTCCTATTTCACGAGGAATAGAACCAGAGAGCTGATTTGCATAAAGGTAAAGAAATCTTAAATGGCTAAAATTTCCCATTGCTTTCGGGATCATACCAGTTAGGGAGTTATTGGAAAAATCAAGCGTATTAAGATTTGTTATCATCCCAACTTCTTGAGGTATAGAACCAGATAACTGATTGTCATGAAGGTCAAGAAAATTAAGTGAACTTAACCTTCCTATTTCACTAGGAATAGAACCAGATAACTGATTGTCATGAAGGGCAAGAAAATTAAGTGAACTTAACCTTCCTATTTCACTAGGAATAGAACCAGATAACTGATTGTATTTAAGGCGAAGATCAATAAGTGAACTTAACCTTCCTATTTCACTAGGAATTGAACCAGATAGCTCATTTTCAGAAAGGTAAAGATATTGACAATTGCTTAAATTTCCTATTGATGCAGGGATTGGACCAGTAAAGGAATTCAATCCTAAAAGACCCACAACAAGTGATCTCATCATTCCAACTTCTTGAGGCAAGGAACCGCTGAGGTTATTGCCAGTGACTGCAAGGTAAGACATATTGCTTAAATTTCCTACAGAAACAGGAAGCGAACCACTAAGTTGGTTCCAAGCAAGGTCAAGTACAGCAAGCAAACTCAACCTTCCTATATCCTTGGGAATATTTCCAGAAAAATTGTCATTAGTAGACAAATTGAAAAAAGTGAGTTTGGACAAGTTAACGATGTCAGAAGGAATGGCCCCATAAAGTGAATTATTACCAACATCAAAGCGAATTAGGTTAGGGAAGGCCAAGAAGTTAAGGTTGTCGAGTGTACCTTTGAGACCAAAATTTGAAAGGCTTATGTTGGTGATGCTTCCAACTTTGTCACAAGCAATTCCAACCCAACTGCAAGGAGTTTCCCCAACCCAGGAAGAGAGGAAACTTTGGCTTTGGTTGTCAAGACTAGCTTTCCATTTGAGAAGAGTTTCTGTTTGATTAAGTAAAGAAGTGGTGGAAGAAGCAGAAGTAGAAACAAGAAAAGACTGAAGTAGCAGGAGGAAGAACAAGGGTGATGCCATAATACCAATGATTTAGAATGCCTTGGGGGTACAATGCATGCTCTTGCAATGAGAGATATTTATACACGTAAATGAGTTAAATAGGACGAAACAAGTGGGACATGACCAACATTTCATCATTTTTAATTTTATGTTAATGCTCAAAGAATCTGTCCTAAGAAAAGAGATAAATAAATTATAACATTTTTAACTGTTTTTTTTTTTTTTTCATCATTTGCTTTTATTTAATATTTTGCAAATAAAGCACCCCACCTTCCTAAACAATAAAAGGTGATGATGGATTCTTGGACACTTCACTTGTGGAAAATAAAGTAAGTGAGAAGACAACAGGTGGTGAACTGAGTTATTTCATTTGTTGTAATTTATTTGTCATACTCATATTTTTTAAAAAGGAGATGTTTTAATTTTCTTATT